AATTCAATCTTTTTTTTTATATTTAATTTATTTTTATAATTCTACTATTTTTTTGTGTAATCTCAATTTAAGTTATTTTGTTTTTGAAGTGTTCTTTATTTTCATGCATTTAAAAATAATTATTATAATTTAAAAATACTGAATTTTTATTTTTATTGAGAAAAAAATATAAAAAAATTATATTGAATGAGTAGATAATAGATTACACATATGTATTTAAATGAATGTGTAGGAATGTCAGTGGAAAGATAGATATGGAGATGATGCGGGTGAGTGAGAGTAATACTCTTTTGATTGAATGAATGATTTTTGTGTTAAAGGGATGTAGATGCTCTTATCCACAAAATTTAATTGCTCTGACAGTGTTCGTGTTCGACCGTCTCCCGATGTCTTTGATACAAGTTTATGATAAGGATAGTTATGATGCATGCAATAAGGTGTCAGCAAGGGCGAAGGTTTTACAGACCGAAACTACGGCGACCCCAACTGTTACTATTGGGCCTGGAAACCTAACTGCTGGACCTAACTACTTCATCGACGGAAATACAAACCATTGCGACGTAGGTGGAACGAAGATTCAAATCAATCTCAACTGATGATGATGTACTGTTACTGTTTCTAAGACAAATATTATTATCAACGCCACTAGAGATTGTATGTCTGTATAGGCTGATAGTAACATAACAAGCAGCCTACAGGCCCACATATACAGAGGAAAAAAAAAAAAGATAATAATAAAATAAAATAAGAGAAAATAAAAGAAAAAGGCTGACAGGTGCCAATTTTGTATTTCTGTATTACTGTTTTTAATCTGAAATGATTATCCTTTTCATACCTAAATGATATTTCCTAAATTCACATTGAAATTTTTGAATAATAAACTAATCGCATCATCACTACAAGTCTACAATAAAATAAATAAATTAATAGTCACGGAAGGCAATTTTTGGTGGATTAATAAAGAGGCAAAATTTTATGGATTACACCATTATTTTTAGTCATGTTAGTTTGATCCAGTGGCGTTTTTAGTTCTAAAAATTGAACATTTTTGCTATTTGGTCATATGCTTTTGAAATTCAATGCAATTTCAGTCATTTGGGAATTGGGACTGAAAATGCAACAAAATTTAAAATTATATGACTTAAATTACTAATAAAAAATCCATCCAGGGGATTTTTTAGTAGCAATTTAAGTTCTATAACTTTAAATTTTATTGCAGTTTCAGTACAGAATGATGAAATTGCAGTAAATATTAAATTACAGGATCAAAAGACAAAAAATTAAAATCTTACGACTAAAAATGCTACAACATTAAACAAGAAGGACTAAAAATACAATTTTGCTACATAAAAAATCTATAAAAAGGATACAAGTATGTATGAAATTTTATAGTATAAAGGTACATTGGGTCTTTAAACTAGGTCTATTTCGGTGACAAGTCATTGCAAATCACCCCTATATATAATTCTCGAATGTGTTGAGCCTATGTGGCTGCTTCTGGTGCTTCGCAATCCTACTTGGCGAAGAATCATGTTTCGTAATTAGGTTCGGACAAATAAATTAATATATTAATAATTAATATTTAGGTTCGGACATTCCATAAATATTATTTAGATAACTTAGGTATTTTAATATCACTTGTGCTAATATAACCATTTAACTCTTTGATATTTTACATAGAGAGACACTAAGTGATCTAATATATCTCTGACTTTTGATTTGTTTCCTTCAATTAGCTATTGAATTATAAATGTATTTTAAAATGGGATAACTTTTGTATTTCTTATCGGTTTTACATATATCATATATCAAATTAATCATCTTTTCATGATCTTCGATTTGACATCCATATTGTATATATAAAATAAATAAATAATATTTACCTTTATAATAATAAAAAATAATATTTATTAAATTTTATTAGAAAAATAAAATTATTTCTCAGTTGATATATTTTTGTTTAATGTAGTTATATGTTGTAAGTTAAAAAAATTATTATAATATAACACAAGTAAGTCACACCAAATAAAAAGTGTCATACTAAATATATAATAATATATATTTTTATAAAAGTTATTTAAATTTTCAACTACTTTTTCTCAATAATTTTATATTTTAAGGAAAAAATTAGCAAACACCCGTATAATACTCGGGAGTTGTACTAGTAATATATATATA